TTTTTTTTTTTTTTTTTCATAAATAAAGAATTGCTCAGCCTCCTGAATAAATTAGTTTTTTACCGGTGCCCCGCCACGAAAAAAATTATAATTCCCTATTGGAGGCGGTAGATATATGTGCAGATCCGAAGACTCGGTGGGCGATGAGGGACTGGATTCCGGACGTGTATTTGACCTGTCTCTTATACACATCTAGATGTGTATAAGAGACAGGCGTTACAATGTGTGCTTTGCTCTGTGGTTTACTATTTGCTTCGCTATACTATGAGCTTGACTGTGTGCTTTACGAGAGCTTTACTCCGTGCTTTGCTACTATGTGCTTCGCTTTACTATGCGCTGGAATTACTATGCGCTGGAATTACTATGGGCTGGATTTACTATGTGCTGGATTTACTATGTGCTGGATTTACTTATGTGCTTTGGTGTAACTGCTTTACTAGCTTGATGACATAAGATTCTTCTTAGCCGAATACGGGTAATAGCCCCCCGGGTATTTCTCACTTCTCTCTCTCTCTCCCCTTTTTCTCTCTCCATTTGGGCATTTTCTTCTTTTTCGACTTTTTTGTTTTTTTTTTCCTTTCTCGAGTTGTGTGTCTCATCCTTCAAAGCGCAAGGCCCACGCTACTCTTCTGTGTAAGGTTCCAATTTTTTTCACGGGTGTCCGGAAGGACTCTCCCCCTGTCTTTTTCACTCCCTTTTTTCTGTGTCCCTTTTTTCTCTCTCTTCATTCCCACAGTACGTTCGAAGTGGCATTTGGCGATAACTCTTTTCAGGGTTTTTTTTTTTTTTTTCCCTGTTTCGCTTCTTTTTTTTTTTTTTTTTTGGACCCTGTTTCGTTTCTGGCCAAGCTGTTTGTTTTTTTTTTAAGAAAAAGGTGGTAATAAAATACTAATAATAGTATTTCTCCCTCCTTGTCCATGAATTGTCACAACAGGGGGGCGTTCGACCCTGCCCTCTTCCAGCAGGTCCACCTCCATCCCCAATAGACTGGTCACTGGAGCCATTACAACAGCGAAAATCAAGTAAATAAATCAAAATAAAGAGTTTAAAAAAATAGTAAAAAAGAACAACTAACACAGAAAAAAGAAAAAGAAAAAAAAGAAAAAACATCCGTTAAAATTGGAACTCTACAGAGCAAAAAGTAAAATTTTACATTTTTTGCGGTCAGTAAAATTTTACATTTTTTTTTTTTCTGCGATTGGCTCGTTGGCAGTCGTTGACCGTCCGTTGCAAAACGTGGATGGAAGAACCGCATTTTTTTATTTTTATGTTTTTAACTAAGCTATATTCTTCTCTCAATTTCACCTTTTGTGTTTTTTCTTCTATTTCGTTTTTTTTTGGACAAAACCTTAGGACACAAAAAATTCAAAAATTAAGCAATCTGACGTGAATGTACCTCTGTGATGAATGAAATTCCGCAGAAAAATACTTTCTGTCAAGCTTTTTATACCTTTTTCCAAGGCTACCAGCCGGGCCGCCCGAGTCACCTTGTTTGTTAGGGCGGACCGGCCGTGCAAGGACCAAAGAAGGTCCCAGCAAAACTAAAAATAAAAGAAATCCAAAAAATCTGAAAAAGAAAAAGTATATTATGCAGAAAAATAAACTGAACAACTTTTTTTTTTTTTTTTTTTGAAAAACTATACTCTTCTCTCAATTTTTTCCTCACACTACCTACCTACCACTACTCCTACCTATAGGCATACGGGGAAACCCGTGGCATACCAGAGCCGTGTTTTTACGGCCCCTCGAGCCTGCAGGATACCGGCCAGGGGACGGCCGGTAGCACCAGGGATAAAGCGGACCAATCCCCCGTGCCTCCCCTCAGGCCCCTCCCCTACGAACATAGCAGACTCTGCTTGATGCCGATCGGGGGATCCAGTGGTCTATCTCTTGGGTAGCGGGTGCCAAGTAATCCCAGGAAGTCATGAGGCCAATGGGGATTGAACCCATGACCTCCTGAATGCCACTTGCGAGCCTTACCAACTGAACAACTCTTGCTTCAGTGTTACATCGAAATTCTTATCCAAATTTAAAATAAAAAATCAAATCAAAAAAAAAAATCCTGTTCTTTTTAGCCCGGCCGGGCAGGTGGTCCCGGGCCACTCGGCGTGGACGTACCTCGATGATGGAAAAATCCGAAAAAGTCCGAAAAATAACATTTTTGTATGCTTTTTTTTTTCTTAAGAAAGGAGGAAAAAACTCAACAGACGACGTTCAGGCAGTCTGACGTGGATGTGTACCTCGATGATGGAAGAAGCGTGAAGAACAACACTAGTGTATGCTTTTTCTTTTTCTTTTTCTTTTTTTTTCTTTTTTTTTCTTAAAGAAAACTCAGGAGACGAAGTTAAGCAGTCATCCTTCGGGACATCCGTTAAAATGGGAATGATACAGAATGCCCCCTGCGCAAGGATGATTCGAATCGAGAAATGGTGCAAATTAAAAAAAAAAAAAAAAAAAAGTTCCAAGCAGTCTGACGTGAATGTGGCTCTAAAGGATGGAAGAACAGGATTTTCATATGATTTCTTTTTTTTTTTTAAAGAACAGAAAATCGGCATACGACGTTTGAGCAGTGTGACGTGGATGTACCTTTATGATGGAAGAGCCACATTTTCATATGCTGTTTGTTTTTGTTTTGTTTTTTTCTTTTTTTTTATAAATTCTCAGACTACGAAGTTTATTTAAGCAGTGTCGTCGATGTACATCTCTCGCCAGATCGGGATCGACTCGGCGCGTTTTGGTTTGACAATCAACTTCGGTCACCTTTTTCCGTGCAAGATCGGGATCGGGATGAGGTTTATGACAGCCGTGGCTGAGCATCGGGATCGGGGGATGAGGTTTACGACAGCCATGGCTGAGCATCGCCCTGGGGATCTTGGCGGCTGTGCACATTTTCCATACTACCCTTCGTCCCCGGGGCCGCAACCCGGCCATAACATCTGTATCTGGCCTGAACCTTGCACTAAATACGGCTATAATGGTGGGTGCTGAATTCGGGGCAAGAAGTTGTGGCTGCTGAAAGAACTCCAAATCCGTAATATACATTACTATCCCATCCGTGCCTGAGCATCTTGACCGATCATTATCGCTGTACTTAGTGCGACTTTCAGGCCGGATACAGATAGAATGGCAGGGCGGTGTGTCGTTCAGAGCAGGAGGGTAGGCATGCAAAGAGCTCCCAAACAGCTACAATAGAAATATCGTTGCGATTGGAACGACAAGCGTCTCTCACAGCACGCCCACTCATCATTCTTTCCTTCCTTCCTTCCTTCCTTCCTTCCTTCCGCGTTCGCTCTCTTTGGTCAATCGAGTAATTGACTGATTGCTTCAAGAATGGATTAATGGAGCGACGGAGTGATCGATCGGTGGGTTGATGGATTAAAATTGATTGATAGATCGATTGCTTGATCGATTGATCGACTAATTGATTGATTGATGATCGATTAGTTGTTGATCATTGATTGATTCATTGATTAGTTGTTGATCATTGATTGATTGATTGATTACTTGTTGATCATTGATTGATTCATTGATGGCTGATTGGTTGTTTGATTGCTGGACATGATGAATTGATCGGTGGATTGATGGATTGATGGATTAATTGATTAATTGATTAATTGGTCTATTGATTGATGGTTGACTGGTGATTTGATTGATGGTCTACGACGTTGATGGATTGATGGCTTGGTTGATTGATTGATTGATTGATTGACTGACTTTTGGACTGATTGACTGATTGATTGATGGATTGATTGAATTACTTGGTACAGACATTGACTGATCGGATCAAATTAAATCAATCCTCTAGATTGGCTTTTCGATTTCATTCAATTTGATTGATTGATTGATTGATTGATTAATTGATTGGCCTGTCGATTCCATATCCTCCGCCTCCACTTGATTTGCTGATTGACATGTACATTCCTGGTGAATGAATAATTAATTTCATCTTGGAAACCTTTTTCAACCCCATCGCCTTTCTCGACGAGGTTATCCAAATTAATCAACAACGGCGCCTTCATGGCTCGTATGCCAAATCTTTCACTGATTGATAGCTGACAGGTCTTCATATCTTGACGTCTCTCCCTTCCTCCACTGCCTCATGCAACTTTTGCGTAGCAAATGGCCCTCTCTCTCTCTCTCTCTCTCTCTCTCTCTCTCTCTCTCTCTCTCTCTCTCTCTCTCTCTCTCTCTGTGTGTGTGTGTGTGTGTGTGTGTGT